GTGGGCCTTTGTTGAGTGTCGGGTAGGGGTATGCGGGCCCTCCCTTGCGTGGTATGTGGGGGAGATAGGTATACGGGCCCTCACTTGCGTGGTATGTGGGGGATATAGGTATATGGGCCCTGGCACACTGTAGTGGGTAGTGGTGTGGGTATATGGAGCCTCCTGCAGTGTGTGAGGAGGTATAGATGCCCCCACAGCGTGGGGTGGACATGTACGGGCTCCTGCGCAGCGTGGTGCTGGGGTATAGGTGTAAGTGCCCTCTCCCAGTGCGCACGTGTGGGGTATCCGTGCACGGGCCCTCCTGCTGCGTGTCGGGGTGCGTGCGTGGGCGCCCCACGCAGACACGGGGTCCGCGGCCCCAGCCCCTCACCGTGGCGCGGGCCCCGGGGGCCGAGCTCCGCTGCTGGCTCTGCAGAGGCTGCTGAAGCGTCTCTTTGGTTGGGAACAAGACACCGCGGCTTAGCCCTAATCCCCCTCTAAATCCACGTCCCCCTGCCCTTCCTGCCCCGGGGGACCGGGGCACCCCCTCCCCTTCTTTTATTGCGTGCCAGCAAGGCAAAGCAAAACCCTCTCTCTCGCCTAAAAATATGCCCTAGAATTCATGCTTTATGAACTTTTTCTTCATGCAAGTTCTTTTATTTTTTTCTTTAGCGTTTATGATAGGACAGAAGAAGGCAGGTCTACTTTATGAGCACTGCAAAGTTTTTGAAACAGTAGTTTGACGGTTCGTTTGTCAATTTGTAATTGTGGTGTTTCAGCACAGCAAAAATGCTTGAAGATTTGAGGTTTAGGCGGGCTTGTGTTTACTGTCCCTTGTTACAAGGAGAAACAGGCATTTTTCTAAATGCCAAAATGTTTCATAATTATAAAGGAAGCAATTGCCTTCAGTTTTAAAATCAATATCCCAGAGACTTTCTTCTTGCACAGGAACCTATTGCCTCTGTGTGATCATCCCACTCATTTAATTGAAAAAGTCTGTATATTTAATTCTTCCGTAGCAACACTGTTTCCAACACAGAATGTCCTTGATCCATAGGGATTTCCGTAGAGAGAGCCTGAATGCACAGATTCTGGAGACTTGCACTGACCTCACAGCAAAAGCTATATGGTTTGTGTAACATGAATGCAAACTAATGCATGTGTGAGCTCACTTGCTGCGTTTCGCCCCAGTCAGCTGAATGGAGTTTGAAGTTCATCTCAGCATATTTTAGAAGGTCCTTTTCATTTAAAAACAATGCTAGAACCTGTGGAAGTTTGTGGACGGCGTTTAACTTGTTTGAAAGTGATGAACGCGGCAGTTCTATTGAAGCGACCGGCGCTGCTTGACAATACGTTGCACCTTTTTTTCATATGTGGTTGCACAGACCTGAGAAAGGCTTTTTTTTTTTTTTTTTTTTCCTTTTGTATGGTAACTTTCTGTTGTTGCGGCTCTGCTGGCTGTTTGCTCAGCACGTTGCATTATTCGCGCAACGTATGGGGTTTTGAGTCAGTTTTTAACTCCCTCTCCTTTTTTAATTAAAAAGATACAAAATTACAATATCCTGTAGTAATAGAGCCATGATTAATTAAGAAATCTGCTTAACTCCAGGAGAATCCAATTAGTCTAGCAAAGAAGGTGATTCTTGCTTAATTGGGATGGAATTGGCAGATAGTTTGCCTGGTGGAAAATGGGAAAGTCGCAGCCTTGCTGTGCTGAGACATGAGTAGCCACGTAAAGATTGAAAGAACAAATAAGGAGTAAATGCAAGATATTTCCGTTATTCAGTATAGTGTGTGTGAATATAGTGATGTCCCTGTATATATGTATATTACATATGCGTTGTAATACAAATAGCCATTTTTCTTGTTCTTGAGAAGTAAGTAAATAATGAATGTTTATGATCTTGTATTTTTCCTGTCAGTCTCATTCAAATAAAACTTCAGATATTTTTATATGTGGAAGAATTAATGAAACTGGGTTTTAATTGATAGAGTGCCTGAATAAAAGGCTGTATGAAGGGACTGTGTAGTGCAAGTGTATTGTGATTTATGGGATGAACTGTGCAGAATATGATGCAGGTCTATGTAAAAATTAGGCATATGATATGTAAAAATATTTATATTTTCGAAGGTGGAAATGGTTTGATAATAGTAGAACTACAAAACAAATTTCTTGATGATGTTATGAAGAAGGAAACTAGCTTTGAAAAAAGCTCAAAAAAGAAGATTTTCGGTTTCATTTCAAATATAAATAATTCTTCTTTCTTTTTACTTTTTTTTTTTTTTTTTAGGAAAGACGCAAATGCTGCATTGCTAAGTAACTTTGAGGTAAGTTTATCTGCATCCTGATTTTAAACCATCAATTTAATGCTGCAGTCAGCCACTTGCACCTTGCTTTTGAAGTTGAAAGGTGCCAGTGGCAGTCAGCAAGACCCACATGTGATTTTTTTTTTTCCTCCTTTGATTTTGTTTTTTAAGAAAAAGTATTTTAGAGAAATACTGGAAATGTTTTCACATGTTTTATTATTTGGTTTTGGCTCTTGTTTTATTATTTGCTTGGTCCCAAATTTATATTTATTTTCTCTCACAGGAGGAGCAGAATTTTAGAATGTCAATAGCTTCTACTTTTCTTCTTTATGCTACTTATATGTCATGAGTTTCCTGAATCTTCTTGCGTGTGGTGATTTGCATTTTAGAGTTTGACTGTGTTTTGAATACAATTATATATTTGGATAAGTGCCCTAGACTTAACTGTTGCTCTGACTTCTGATGCCTCACATGCAAATCCTGAAAGTTATCAGTCCTGTAACCAGATAGCAGTGTCTAAAATGCCTTTTTTTTTTTTTAATTTCGTCTTATGACAAACCAATATACCACCAAATAAGTGATCTGCAAATCACTGGAGTCTCTTCAATGCTGCAGATAAAATTTCTTGCAAAAAAAATCACGCGGCAGAGGTAACTGCTCTCAGAATCAGTGTTTCATATTTAACTTGAATTTTGCGATCTGCAGAATTACCAAGAGCCTCCAACACATCAGTGCATAATTATATTAACACCAGTGCTGCTGGATATGCAGTTGCACACCCTTGGTTGCTTGGTAGTGTTTTTTTTAAAGCTTTTGGGGTGTTTCCAGAGAAGATTAGACTATAGCAAGGGTGAGGCAGTTTGCACATCTGCAATTAACTGTGTTAATTTTAAATATTAGCAGGAGCCAAGGATGTACAGTGAGCTGCTGACGTGGATAATGAAAAGATTTCAGTGTTTTGTTTACAATCATCATTTTTAAAATAGTTTCAATAACTTAAGTGCTCTTGCTTAGTTTTTTTTTATTGCTGAGATTTGAAAATTGCACAGCTGTTTTATTGTAATTCAGAAATAAGTCTTGAGATTTTTTTTATCTTGAGCCGCATCTGTGCGTACAGCAGAGCACGCTCATCGGGCAGATATTAGATGAGTTTTGATGAGATACTTGGACAGACCCGTCTTGCTTAGGCCACGCTAGTATTAAATATTTGTTAAAAACATATACAGAGAAAATAGGAAGCATTGCAGAGATCATTTACTGCAAAATCAGCTGTGCTGTTGAGGCATGTTTTTTAATTGCTCTTCAAAATACTTATTTTCATAAAACTAAGTCCTCTTTCTATTTACTCATTTATTTATTTACTTTTTTAACCCCCTCCCCAGGTGTACCAGTTACTTACTGATCTTAAGCAGCAGCGCAAAGAGAGCGGAAAGAACAAGCAGAGCTCTGGCCAGCAGAACCTCAACACAATCATGTATGAAGTGAGTACAACTGTGAATCTCCTTTGCAAATTAGCACAAGCAAAGTAATTCTCATCTCAAGATGTTCATATTAATCACTGTGGATCATATTTATCCCATTGACAAGTACAGCAAATATATATATTTTAGGGAGGGGTCAATTTTCGTTATCCGTGGCCACTTTATCAGGCTAACTGTGCCATAAGTGCTCGTTCCCTGCAGAGACAGCTGAGTCAGGGTGGTTTATTCACTCAGCTGTAATGTGCCACGGTATCAGAGCTTTAGCATTTCCAGGATCAGCCCTGGTTTCATTTTCTGTCCCTTGTGCGTGGGACAGAGCGTGGACTAGCCAGCTCTGTGGATCCGTGCTGATCACGCCGTATCTCCTTGTTTCTCCCAGTATTTCCTTCCGGTGGGAACATGGAGCAGTGCAGTACTGGGTCCCATGTGACAAAGTGGGTCCATCCTACAACAGCACTGGCTGTACTGTTAGAATAAAACTGTCTTATCCAAAGAACTGGAGTGGGAATCTACTGGCTAATTGTTGCAAAGCCACAGGGTTGAGGTGAGCAGTTTTAACTGAGGACAAAATTTTGCTCTTATTAAAATCTGTTGCACACCAAAAAACCCAGCTATTTTAGCTGTGGGGAATTTTTGTTTTCTTTGTTTGAAGATTGGCAGTGCTTTATCCCACTATGATATCAACATCATTTGGACACTAGTCAAGCAATAAATGTTATCTGTTGCTAGGAAGAGCTGAAAAAAAATACAGAAATCAACATTTTTAAGATCTCAAGTTAGTTTCAGAAGACAATAGTGATCCGACCTCTTGTGTCCGTGTCTGAGAATTACATGAGTGTCCCCATGACTGGCAGGAAGCTGAATGCAGTTTGTCTTGCTTGCATGAGTAATCCCATTGATCAGGGAAACTACTCATGTGAATAAGATTTGGCCTAGGCTTTGTTTTTATTTTAGTTCTGGCTTTGTTTGAAAAGGTATGGAGCTGTAATTCCTAAAACTCAGATCCAGCAAAATAGAGGCTTACCAAAAATCTGGTTTAAATCTTTATGGAGACTGGCAGTCTATTCCTCTACTTCTTTGAAACAGCTGTGGAAGACCCTGTAAGTATTTTTATATCAGAATGCACCTTAAAATTTTAACTCTTTTATTGTATTGCGGCATATTAAATGCCAATGGGGTGCTCTTTTTGTACAGGGAATAAGGTTAGTGAAAAATCTAGACACTTTTTCCTCTATATTTCTTATATTACTGGAAGAGAACAGGAATTTGAAGTTATATTGCTCATATTGAGGATGTTTTCACAAGCCTCATTCAGGCATGTATCCACTTGTACTGGAACGACTAGATGAAGCTTACTGAAGTGGAGCCATATTTTGATATATCTGGCACTTTAATTGACTTGAAATTGCAGAAAAAGGCAACCTGGAACAGAAATGACTCCCATAAAGTAATTAAAACCATCATATTTTTAGTGCAGTAATTTTTATTTCAGTCATTATTGGTAAATAGTAATACTACTTTATCTGAAAAGGTCAATGAGAACTTAGCAGAGGCATAGTTATTACATAACTTTTTATATTTTAAGTATATAGCTGCATAAACCTGATCATTAAGAATGCCAGTGATACATATTTCATCCGATCTGTATCAAGTAGGGTGAACCATCCTGTGTTGTTGAAGTCTGTTTTCATTTACTTCGTCTTTTAAAATGAAAATGTATTTTAATGGAAATATACTGGAAATATATTCCGTATTTTCTTAGTTGCCATATCCTAAGAGAGTCTTGCAGATTATTTTTTCCCAGCATCAAATTATTTTCTCTTCTTTAAATACTGATGTAGCTTTTTTGACTTCTGACTTTTCAGATACTTGCTTTAAAGCTTTTTTGAGAGTAACTATATATGTAGAAGATGACCCTCTACATGTTATGCATTGAATTATCTGTGCATATAGCATCATAATGCACATTTGTGTCTTCTTTGTGCTTCTGCTCTAGATACTGCATTGTTCATCTGCTGTAAAAAATATCTTTAAATCTTAATGTATACAAGCTATGCAGGATTAAGAGAAAATTTTATTCCCTAATTCAGATATTGTCAGTACTCTTACAAATCCTGCAGTTGCTGATACATACAATGCAGACACGAATGTAAATATTTCTGTAACTTTTCCAACTCTTATTTCTAAGGGTTATTATTTATCTTTCTAACACTATTTTCTTCATTTTGGTGTCTAATTTAAGCAACATTCAGAAAAATTCTTAAGCTACTACCAATGAAAAGAGTGGAATTTGTTTTTCTTTTAGTAGAGGTCTATAGGCACATTTTTTAAATCGGCTCAAATTAGTTGATATATTTCTTATCTGTCTACTCAGTGTTGTGTTTTAAAAAAAGCAAATATAGCATCTGCTGTATGTAAAAAATGGAGCAAAGAAGTTGTCTCAAGTCAGATAAAGATTTCTGAGTAAAATATGACAATTTTCTTGCAGATTTTTAATGGCAACCTACTTAAACTTCCTCTATGAAATTAGGAAAGTGTTGTCAAATAATGTTTCTAAGAAACAAGAACAGATAGATGTTGGAAAATCCTTGCTAGTGCTGGGCAGCTTGAAGATATCGATGAGCTGCCAGTGAAAGTATTCTTGATACTGAATTCATCAAAACGTGGCGGAAGATGATGTGGTTTTCAGGGTGAATAAATACTCTAAATTGACTGCAGATCTTTCTGACTAGTCCCAAAGAGAACTTCCAAAAAAGAATTTGTTTCATAGACATCAAATGAGGCCAATAATAGGTGTGAAGTAATGTATACCTTCCTCCTGCAGACGCTGAAGTACATATCAAAAACACCATGCAGATACCAGAGTCCTGAGACCGTAAGAGATTTCCTCACAACAATGAAAGGCCATAAGCTAACCAAGTAAGTAGAGATGAGGCTTTAAATAAAAATATACATTCATGGGAATATTAAAAAAAAAAACCCACCATATGTACAATATGATAATCTGGTTTTGATTAATGTATTAACATATTCAAGTTATTTCCCACACTGTAAATATGCTCATCCAAATATCCTTCAATGCACTCATGCTAACACCTACATGTGTGAATATTTACTTAAATAGACCTGTGCTTGCCAGTGTATTTCTCAAACAAATCCTTGTCAGTATACATGGTACAAGCACAAAGTAGAACTTATGAAGTGCTTTATGAGGAAGAACAGTATAAGATGCAGATGACTTTTGAATAGTGTGAGAGAACTGAGATGAGAACAACCTGAATTTATTATCACCTTTCTCATTTTTATAAAATTTCTTAAGCAAAAAATGTACTTGTTCCTAAAAGTGGAAGAAGATAACTATATATTGTAAGGATATAAGTGAATGTTCTTCCACAGCTAAGTTTTACATGGCTCTGTGAACCACAACCGCTTCACATCATCTCGCTTTAACTAGTGTTCAGCAAACTAGAGGTTTTCATCTTTTGTGCGTGTGGTCTTTGTCCAATGCCACTCCCTGCAATCCCCTAGGATTTCGAAGAGGTGTACCTTGCTTGATTGACACAGTATATTCAGGTATCAGATATTTTTTTCACGTTCCAGGAAAGCTAAACTATAGGCTATTCTTATTTTAGGAAGTCCTGAATAGAAAATCTGGCTATTTTCTTTTGCTGTTACAAGAAGATTCAAAGGTCTTTAAAGGGCTTTTTTATTTTTTTTCCCTCTTTGTCAGTGGTATAAATGCACATTTACAGGGTTTCAAACACACGATCCTTTCAAACCTCTCTTCAGAGTGTGAATGAATCTGTCAGAAACAATGAGACCAAATGTAATTGAATCAGTGTGTCCTTCTTCAGATAGCTTTAATCAGTCATCTTTTTGTGAAAGGGGGCATTTAAAGCAGAAAGTGCAAAGACTTGGTTGCTCCTGAATGGCTCCCTCTTCACCATGAAGGGACAGTCTATGCCATAGAGACACTGGCTGCATTTTTCCTCTCTGCTGCTTCTCGAAGGAGTTCATGCTCTAGGAAGGAGCCTTTTACTGCTTTAGTTGCCTCACAAAAGAAGAAATGCAAGTTGAGAGCATCTGGAGAGTGCAGTGTTACAAGGCGAGTGTTTAGCCTGCCCAAAAGCATAGTAATTTGAGCAGAAAACAGGTTCACTCAGCTGTTTCAGTGACTTTTTATCATGCCAGCACTCTAAAGATATTTGTCAGAGCATCCCCTGCGCATTAGCAGCTCTGATTCCAGCATTGCTCTCATTGCTGACTTCGGAGTGTTGCTTGGAAGCTTTGTCATGAGTATTGTAACTTTGCTTGTACTACCTTCTTTTATAGAACGGAAATTGCCGGGTCAGTATGTCAGTGTTTAGTCCTCATAGAGCTCATCTTACACAGCAAGATACTACTAATTTATATAACAGGCAGGCTATCATTATTTTATATATTTTTTTTGACACAGAGGTATTTAAGTGTGGGGAAATGCTCTGCTTACTAAACTGGAGTGATAGTATAGAAATGAAAAGGGTATCTTAAAATTCATAGCAAGCATATCAGATTTCTGGTACTATATGTATCATTGAGGTGAAATAAGCTTGCTCAGGACATGCAGGACAATGGCTTAGGAAAGCACCAGAGAAATGCTGCATCACAGCAAAACAGGAGGAAGTTAAAAAGACAGAGTGGGATTTTTTTCAGAAGTCAAAGAGCTTTTTCTTCTAAGTCCCATTTCTGAAATGCCTCCTGATAGAATTACTGAGAATTAGTCCAGGAGCTCAGAGTTAACACTGATGCTCTTGTAGAAAGTCGTGGGAGCTCTGCTGTTGTGTGTGAGATACCTTGACTGCTTCTGATAGCAGCATGGTCGGTCTCAGAGTGAAGCACTAAATGACATGGGGCCAGAAAGGAAGAGAATTCCAGCCACAAGGTCTCCTGCCTTGCCTAGGTCTCTTGGAGAAGGTTTTCTACCCAAATATTCACCTGCCCTAGTCCTGTTTGTGAGCTCTGATAGTGGGATGAAATTCTTAAAAACTTTCAATGAGCTTTTGGACTATTCAGGCATCTCTATATGGGTGCCAGAAAGTTCCTTTGCTTTTAGTTGTCATCTTCTGTTGTTTTCTCTGAGAGAGATCTGTAAATAAGAGAATTACTTCCAAGTAATTTGTAACTGTGTAATGACAGAAGGATGAGAATGAAGAGCGAGCCAGTAGTTTAAATTAAAAAAATAAACAGCATTTATGGCCTGTTAGAACTCAGATTGGACTGTGATAACTTCATCACTTCAGCCTCTTTTGCAACTTTACTCCTAGCTAAAGAAAAGAAAAAGAACTTGCCAGCCCTGTGCTTGCCATGAACTTTACAAAATAAGAACCAGAATTGTTTAGAATGATCTTGGCACTTCTTGTTTCCTCTAATCTTTTCCACTCAGCCACTCCAAGCTAGGGGTATCGGAGCCATCTGGCAGCCACTTCTCACCAAAACCCAGAAAGCATGTGGTGTGCAACTACCATATAATATGTTTTATGTTAAACATGATTGCCTCCAAAGAACTCTTGAATTACCCTTTGGTTCATAACCAAGATCATTTCAACACTCCTCTGCTGTTAAATAAATAGGATAACTGAAGGTTTTAATCGTTCCATTCTGGGGGGTGGAGGTGATGTCTGTATGAAAGGGTCCACTCGGGGTTTCATTCTGGTTAGCTGGTGCAACACTTTCTTTCTCTTTGAAAGGGAAGAAGCTGTGACATTTGCCCTACAGAACTTGCTTAACGGATCTTTTCAGTGCAATAACTTTTCCTCCCATGGAGAATAATGAACTCCATAGTCTTTGCTACTTCCATGTCGAGTGAGACATTTGGAGCATAGTCTTAGCTGCTCACATGCTGTCTGTGTTACTAACAGTTTTTCAAAGATAACTGATTTGATGCGAGATACATGGAAGTTGATTTGGTATTGGCTAAAGTAAGATAAAGGTATCATTTGCTTAGTGTGTGTTCTCTTACTGGGGGTTGCTGCTATGTTTGTGAAAGCGTGAACTCGGTTGTGGTGGGTCTGATTATTTGAACTTCTGCAGTTGCATGATTTAAGAGCAAACTGTACTTTTAAATACCATTTGATTGACCTTTTAAATAACTCTAAATAATTTCACGCACATAGGGTTCCATTATCTTCTTCCACTGTATAAACAAATTCTTCTGTCTAAGCAGTGAGTGCCTAGATCTCCACTACCAGCAATTTCTATTTTCTCTTAGCAAGTGGAGTAGAGACTCTGGTTAAAAGGCACTGCTGGGCTAAACCAGAAGCATTTATGCTGCTCCCTTTGCAGGTTAAATTCCTTGTTATCTTTCTGCATCTAATTGAGGAGAAAACCATTAAGCAGTGTTTGTGCTGCTAATTAGGCTTACCTTATTTTCTAGTACTAAGACTTTGAAAATAGGTCACCAGTTCAAGGCTTTTAACATAGGGGAATTTGCAGCTATGTGTAAAAATAATAAATAAATGATGGATGGATGTTGAGGTCCCTTTCCCCAGGCAGCATGTCATTGCGGCTCCCAAGCGCTAGGTCGTGCTAGTGTATGTCAAACTTTCTGGGTAGAAAAAAAAGTCCTTTTTCCTAGAAAAGATAAAAAATAGTGATTACTAATGTGTAAAAACAGCTTGTATTTTTCAGTTTCAGCCAGCTGTTTTGCTAAATGGAGCAATTTTAAAGCCATCTAAACTTTTATTCCATTTCCCTGATATAGTCGAACTATGGCAAAGCACAGAATTTTTTTTTCCTAGTCATTAGTATTTTATTTAAATAACTCTAAAGGAACAGAGGTGTGTTTTTTTTTTTTTTTTTTTTTGTTTTTTTTAATGAAAAGGCTCTGAACTGACATCACAGGGGATTTTATTATCACCTTGTTGAGGCCTCAAGCTTTGGCTAAAGCTTCAGTACAGCGAGCCATGTTGTACTTGGAAATACAGAATGCTGCAAGTGGCTGATTTTTTTCCATCTTTAGTCCTCTGGAATGGCTTAATATTTTGCAAGCTGGTGCATCCCATGAAAAGAATGTTTATTAAGCTGATGCTTTGTAATTGTGGTTATATGTAAGTTGGCTCTCCTTGTATTTCTTCCTCTTACTAGGTTAGATCTAGTTTGAGAATAATCACATTTTCAATCACTGCATAGTATTTAAATTTTGAAATATGGATATAAACATTGCCTTTAAGTCAACATGCTCAAGGAATTACTGAGTTGAAAATCAATAGTACTTTTAGAAAGTATTTTCTCTTTTTACTGCCAAAAGCTACAACAAAGGTAAACCTCTACAATAACAAAGACTCAATTACTTAGTTGGTAATTTTTGTCTCCTCCCAAGCTTTAAAAGTGTATATCCTACAGCCAAAGGAGGCTGGTACTCCTATAGCAACCCTATTTAATACTGTCTTCAAAAAGACCACTGTGTTTCCCACTCAGTCAAAGGATTTGAAATTAATCCTTTGATATATAGCAGCATTTCCACAACTTTTTGGGTTCATGTACCATTATCAGCCTTCAGAATTAATTCTGGACAACTGTTCCTTCGCTGAACTTCAGAGGAAACATGTGCTACGAATACTGCCCAATACGTTTCTTCAGACCACCTTGAACCGTTCCTGCCAGGTCCTGTTTCAGAGAAGGTTTTATACAGGTTGTGTCGTTCGACTCAAGATCCTAGAATTTCATTCTTAAATACTTTTAGCTAGTAATAAAATAGTGTTGCACACACTGTTGTTGTTTTAGAATTTTCCCAGCAGCTAAAAAGCATGCGTGCTGAGGATAAATCTGCCTCTACACAGTCAAAAATGTTTCAGACTTTTTCTTAGCATCTGCAGATGCACTACAGCAATTCTGTCTGCTCAAATACTCAGTGATACTGCGCACAAGAAGCAATTTTTGTC